ATTATATTGAATGAGTGGAGATGGGTCCCTTATATGTAGTTAAATGAATGAGTAGGAATGTGGGTGTGTGTTTAAATGGATAGAGATTAAGTGGAAATATGATGTGGAGATGATGTGGATGAGAGAGAGTGTTACTTTTTTATTGAACGAATAATTTTTGTGTTAAGGGATGTGAATGCCTAACATTCCTACACATTTGAACAAGTAAAAAAGTAACACACACCCACATCATCTCTCATCCACATCATCTCCACATCATATTTCCACTTAATCTCTATCCATTTAAACACACACCCACATTCCTACACATTCATTTAAATACATATATGGGACTCACATTATCCATTCATTTAATATAATTTTTAAATCTGTAGAAGAATAAAATAATATAGTTAAGAAATTAATTTAAAACAAAAAAAAAAGAAAAACAAGCCTGATGAACGCGTTCAACCTCTTGAACATAATCCTGGGCCCCAAGCATTAACTGAATGGTCACAATGCATTGAACATTTATTCAGCGTTTAAATGGAGGAAATGAACAGGCGTTGCGGCTACCCTAACACAGGAATTGTATTAACGCGTAACTAAACAAATATTAAATATCTTGTAAAAATCAACAGGATTTGTATTAACGCGAAACTAAACAAGTATTAAATAAATTGTAAAAAATGGATAACACTCGCGTTCGACAATTAAAATCCATTATGCAAAATCATTTTCAGAAAAATGGATAACACTCGCGTTCGACAATTGAAATCCATTATGCAAAATCATTTTCAGATTAAGTGGACAACTAAACTTAAACGCCGAGCCAAAAAACAACAATTATCACGAAGATTAATTGTAAAAAAATTCAACAGTATGTATTAAAGGATACAAAATCACTTTTCAGCGAACAGAAATTAAATAGATTTAGTGAGTAAAAAGCAAAACAGTATGTATTAAACAACGATATCCGCTGTTTTTCGTATGAAATTTTTAGATTAAACGCTACAAAATCTCACCAGTATGTATTAAAGGATACAAAATCACTTTTCAGCGAACAGAAATTAAAAAGATCTAGAGGTTAAACAGCAAAACAGTATGTATTAAACAACGATATCCTCTGTTTTTTGCATGAATTTTTTAGATTAAACGCAACAAAATCTCACTCTATCAGGATATCGTCAAAATTCGTAAAAAAACAGAAATTAAACGCTAGAATCGACATAACTTCAGCCAACAAAGATTAAACAACTATCAACTAACACACGTAAATCAATTAAAACAGCAAAACTCAAGTTCGTAGTAGGATAACTAAACTCATGCATTCTCATATATCAAACATAAATCAAGCTCAACAAAATAAGACTAAGGTTAAATGAATAGAATAATCTACGTACATTGCGTTTTGCTTTGAAACTTCACAAAACTTGAAACAGCACCTGGAAAAGAAAACACAGAATTAGAATAACAACTGAGAAGAAGAAAGTACAAACAAGTGAGGAGAGGTAAGTATAAAAACTGAAAAGAAGGAGTATAAACAGTGAACTTACAATCTAAAAAATGAAAATGGGCGATGAGGTCAAGTGAGTAGAGGGGGTCTGTTTATAAGTACGAAGTTTGGAAAAAATTATATTGAATGAGTGGAGAATGGGTCCCATATATGTAGTTAAATGAATGAGTAGGAATGTGGGTGTGTGTTTAAATGGAGAGAGATTTATTGGAAAGATGATGTGGAGATGATGTGGATGAGAGAGAGCGTTACTTTTTGGTTGAATGAATGATTTGTGTGTTAAGGGATGTGGATGCCTAAGGGCATTCACATCCCTTAACACAAAAATTATTCGTTCAATAAAAAAGTAACACTCTCTCTCATCCACATCATCTCCACATCATATTTCCACTTAATCTCTATCCATTTAAACACACACCCACATTCCTACACATTCATTTAAATATATATATGAGACCCACATTATCCACTCATTTAATATAAATTTTAAATCTGTAAAAGAATAAAATAATATAGTTAAGAAATTAATTTAAAACAAAAAAAAAAAAAACAAGCCTAATGAACGCGTTCAACCTCTTGAACATAATCCTGGGCCCCACGCATTAACTGAATGGTCACAGATGCATTGAACATTTATTCAGCGTTTAAATGGAGGAAATGAACAGGCGTTGCGGCTGCCCTAATACAGGAATTGTATTAACGCGTAACTAAACAAATATTAAATATCTTGTGAAAATCAACAGGATTTGTATTAACGCGAAACTAAACAAGTATTAAATAAATTGTAAAAAATGGATAACACTCGCGTTCGACAATAAAATCCATTATGCAAAATCATTTTCAGAAAAATGGATAACACTCGCGTTCGACAATTAAAATCCATTATGCAAAATCATTTTCAGATTAAGTGGACAACTAAACTTAAACGCCGAGCCAAAAAACAACAATAATCACGAAGATTAATTGTAAAAAAATTCACAGTATGCATTAAAGGATACAAAATCACTTTTCAGCGAACATAAATTAAATAGATTTAGTGAGTAAAAAGCAAAACAGTATGTATTAAACAACGATATCCGCTGTTTTTCGTATTAATTTTTTAGATTAAACGCTACAAAATCTCATCAGTATGTATTAAAGGATACAAAATCACTTTTCAGCGAACAGAAATTAAAAAGATCTAGAGGTTAAACAGCAAAACAGTATGTATTAAACAACGATATCCTCTGTTTTTTGCATGAATTTTTTAGATTAAACGCAACAAAATCTCACTCTATCAGGATATCGTCAAAATTCATAAAAAAAACAGAAATTAAACGCTAGAATCGACATAACTTCAGCAAACAAAGATTAAACAACTATCAACTAACACACGTAAATCAATTAAAACAGCAAAACTCAAGTTCGTAGTAGGATAACTAAACTCATGCATTCTCATATATCAAACATAAATCAAGCTCCACAAAATAAGACTAAGGTTAAATGAATAGAATAATCTACGTACATTGCGTTTTGCTTTGAAACTTCACAAAACTTGAAACAGCACCTGGAAAAGAAAACACAGAATTAGAATAACAACTGAGAAGAAGAAAGTACAAACAAGTGAGGAGAGGTAAGTATAAAAACTGAAAAGAAGGAGTATAAACAGTGAACTTACAATCTAAAAAATGAAAATGGGCGATGAGGTCAAGTGAGTAGAGAGGGTCTATTTATAAGTACGAAGTTTGGAAAAAATTATATTGAATGAGTGGAGAATGGGTCCCATATATGTATTTAAATGAATGAGCAGGAATGTGGGTGTGTGTTTAAATGGAGAGAGATTTATTGGAAAGATGACGTGGAGATGATGTGGATGAGAGAGAGTGTTACTTTTTGATTGAATGAATGATTTGTGTGTTAAGGGATGTGGTTGCTTTTAGGGGTGATGATATTTACCCAACCACCCATTCTGTAATTTGGATGATGATCATATATTTATGCTCTACCATCTGATCTCTCTTGAAAAAAAAAAAAAAATGCTGCTGCTTCACTTTCTTAAGTCTGCTTGATGTTGTTGTTCTTTATAATCGGTAACCGATTACCGATAAAACGGTTCAGTTTCGGTTTGAATATTAGTGAAGCCGAACATGTTCGGTTCGGTATCGGTTTAAGTAATCGAACTGATAATTGGCTAACTGCTGAGGATCCATATTCCTAATTTTCATTTATATTACATATTATAATTAAAAAAGGGAATATTCTTGTAGTGGTCCTAGGGGACAATGCAACTAAACGGCTGCTGATGCAACTCGTCCTCTCCCTCTGCAATTCACTTATGCAACAAAGTTTGTTGCTCAAATTCCTATTCTCTCTCTACCATTCATTATGCAACAAACACAATAGCAAACCTCACCGTATGACGTATAACAATTCCAGATTCCCACATCCGAGGACAACATTTTACCTATGCTTAAGAGAGAGAATAACAAACTTATAAATAAATATATGAGTGTGTTTAGTAAGTATTATATGAATATATAGTAACTATTATAAGTTAGCTTATAGCTTTATTAGTTAGTTTATATTAATCTCTCTGTATACAAAATAAATTTAGTATGGTAGATCGATATTTTCTAAAAAACTTGTGCTTATTTCATAAGCATATGTAAAAAAATTCAATGACCGTTAATTAAGTGACATATTATATAATTTGAATATGCGAGTTTCAATTCCATTAATATTTCTAGATAAAACTCTAATTCTTTGGTTATCATCTTATCACGATTAGAGTTAAATGAGCCATGTCGAGTTCATTTTCTTGATACTCCAACTCTCAGGTATTCGAGCCTTTAAAAACCCAAGCTCTACTCATTCATTAACATGAATAAATCAAACTTGAACTTTATCGAACTGAACTAAACTTAAAAAATTACGCAATAACTCTTATTCTCAAACTTTAATTTAGTCGTTCGGCTCGACTTGTTTATTAAATGAGTCGAATCGATCTCACTAGCATCTAACTTTATTTAACAACTTTAATCACAATAGTTAGATGCTATAAGCTCGAGAAAGGAGAATATAGAGAACTTTTTCCCCTTTGACAAAAATAATATAATCTTGCAACGTTATTGTGTAGTGAAATTCATCTAATTCGGTAATTCCAATATATTTACTCCATCTGTAAGAAAGATGCTATATATACTGTTTTATTAGTTAGGTAATGTACATTGGGTTTGTAATTTTAACTCCCATACTTATATACACTCTAACACGGGTTTCGAAATTTTTAATCATAATTCCAATCCAAATTATATGAAATGTATAATAGCAACTCACAAGGTTTAGATCAATTACAGGTGTGCGTATTTTTNCTCCAACAACGACTAAGAAGATAATGCGAGCTTGGTGTTGATTGAATAGTCGGTTGGAAAGCCGTGCAATCCCTTATGCACAAAGGTCATGAAACAAAACCTACAACTCAAACTTCTTGTTATGTTCTTGGAGCTACCTTTTCAAATGGTACCAACTACCAACCATAATTGGTCCCATGATGGGCATCATTGTCATTACCACCATTAGAACATTCAACCAATGCTGCAAAAAATGGGCTGATTTTCGAATCTATTTCTTTTCTTGGGGGAGATCTCTTTTGGATGGATCGACTTCTTGGCGGCGGCTGGCGAAGGGGGAGGTGCTCGGAATATTCCTTCTTGTTGGACCCCAATTGGTGCTTCGGGATTTTTTTCCAAAAAAATGGGGTGCCTTTGAACTTGGTGACGTGTCGGACTAAATGGCGGGTAATCCTCAATGTAAGAGAGTGATGATGACGACGACAACGACAATCCGTAAGATGAATCCTGATGTTCGAACGACAATGATGAAAATGACGGCGTGTGGAAATAGCGGGAATCTCGTGTAGGGTTTGTGGTTTCAAATTCCTCATTTGCAAGGATTTGGGCGTGCGTCTGAGGCCATTGTTCTTGGTTGGGAGAAGATGGGGTGTGTGTGCTTCAAGGCTTTTGGTCGCTTTGTGTTGTTCAAATTTGTGCTTTGTGGCTACTGGCTAGTATATAAATATGGATGACTATTGTTGCTTTGCTAATTTTTCAATGTTAAAAAGCTTGTATAGGGGAATGGGGTTGAAAGTGATACTAGTAATATAATAAAATAATAAAGGGCCCCCTAACAAATTATTGAGTTCGAATAAATTAATAAAGGGTAGAAAATGGGAAATAAATAGTGGGGAAGTTGGTGTGATTCTGATATTTTCATTGATATTGTGAAATGTGCGTGAAACGTATATAATGAACAGTTGTAAACTTGTAAACCACTTCATGTGGGTGATTAGGGACTGAATGGTCCATTTAGGGGTATTTTGGGTCAATTTGTAATTTTATTGCATGCTAAGCCTCCATTGAATACCTTCCGGTGAGTGATATATCAGAATCTTACTTGCCATTTTATTTAAAAGTAATTATTCAATCTTAGTGAAAGTTACATATTAACTCAAGTGTTATTCAAATTTGTGTTGGGGAGTTTATTTAATTTGTATATAATCCGACTCTCATGCCCATGATAGTCGAGTTAAAATGCTCAGTTGATGTGGCAAGATATTAAAATATCATACACGATGAGCAAGTATGACGTGGCTAGTGATCTCATTTTAATGTATCCGCGGTTGGTAGTTGTGCATTTTTGAATTTCTAAATTCGAAATGTGATACTATGAGGAATGAGGATGATTGGATACAAGTTTATCCAATCACTTTTTTAACTTAAAACTTAATTCCTTCCCCTCAATATTATCAATAATAATTAAATAATATCAATCAATCATCCTCACACATCACGTCAACTTTATTTCACTATTAATTCACTCACATAATTTTAACTACTTATCACTTTCAATCACATATCTCTTACCTTTACATCAAATCAACTTTAATTATTTTATTTTAAATATTATTTTAATACAAATTTAAAATCACACTCAAACATAACTTAGTCATTTTTTTTTTCAAAATTAACTCTGGTTATAACCAGCAAATCCAGTCAAAAGTCAAATATTAAATTTGTATCTAAACAACACCTTTATATTCATGCAAAGTATATTGGTTTTCATATATTAGAATTTTATGCATATGCATGTAAATTATACGTGAAACAATAGTAGGTGTTCAAGTATATCCTAATTTTTTTCCTAAACAAACTAATGGGTGTTAAGTAGCAGTGGCACACACAATAGCAGAGTACATGCATTGATACACATAAGTTTTCAATGTTTTTAGGGGGTGTAGCTGAATGTAATTACTTAGTCCACGTATCAGACTATAGACGTGTAATAAGAAAATTGCACTTATACCTAAGTAATTTGATGTGGAAAATTTCCATTAATATGGTAATCAACGTCATCACGAAAGGCCTTTTATAACTTCATATACAATAGTAGATATATATATTATCTATCTATCTATCTATTCAATTTATAAAAAGGAAGCCATAGCCTCCTCTGTTGACACGTGCTGCCTCAATTCTAAGAGGCCACGTCGACATTAACAAAACGACATCGTTTTGGTTTATGCATCTTTTGTTCTTTTCTCTCCAGTCTTGGGATGTGCAGATCAGATATTTTCTTTTTCTTCTCGCCGACCACAATTTCATTTCAACAAACCCCTACCATCAATCTTGACAGATGCGTCCCCGCATCACAAGGTGCAAAGTTGAAAATCAAGGCTCGATTGTTCAGAGAAACGATTGTTCACATCGGCCGCCGTAGGAATAAACGGCAGGATCATGGTGAACAAAAAATGCGGCCTCGACCAACATCGATTCATTGAGTTGTATAATTGCGTGCTACTAATTCAATATTTTAATTTATTATGATAATTTATTTATTTTGATCTCTATCTTTGTTGTGGTGACCGACAGATCTACTAGGCGAGCGGTTGGTCGTGGCTCAATTAGGAGGCGGTCGACTGTTCGAGGAGACGGGCTTAAGTTGGACACAAATACAGTGGGGATCTAGAAGGATCATCAAACTTTGAGTGGCTAATCGCGGACAACAATTTCAGGCAAAGTTTTCTACACCTATTTTTTTTTTTCATGGGCTCACCGAAGGGGTTGGTGGTGGTCCTGAATGATTTATCGCGTTTTGTTATCAAAACAACAGTCATTCGAGCTACCCTCCATTTTTTCATTTGATTTTGCTGAATTTGCTCACTCCATGTTTAAACCCTATATTTCACCCGTCTATTTGTGCCTGTGTTTATAACATGTATAAAGGATTTATTTATTTTTTTTTTAATGTCTCTGCCTCTGTGGGTACACTTTTGTTCCTTTTTTTTTTGTTATTTCTGATGGGCCTTAATTTCTTATAGATCTTTATCCATTTTCATAAACCTATGAAAATTGGATTAATTGATTTATTTACTGAGATTCTCTGGAATTGAGAAAAATTGGGAAAATGTGGACATAATAAGTAGAAATAATTATCTCTCTTGAACAAATAAGTATATCCATGCTCATTTCCTTGGATGTTAACAAAGAAAAATGTTGCATCTATTTTTTTTACTGTCCAATTTCACAAAATCAAGGTATGATCGTATACAACCCAACAGATTGAATTGGGTCATATGTGTGCTCAGGGATGAAAAATGAAGAAGCTCCCATCAGAACTGGTTACCCACCTGGGACTCCAGATGCCCATAATTGTTACTGGAATCGATGGCCTACGCATACATTTGACTCTGTCCAGATAAATCAGTAAGACTAAGTGACTGCTGAAAACATTGACACCATATATGTGTCTTTTGGTATCATGGTTCATATGTTATTCGGTGTTACGCTACACTGAAAAGTGATAAACAAAGGTTCTATTTTCTTGTGACGTGGTATATATGGTAAAATTTCCAATTAAAATAATTCTTCTTTATGAAAGGTTTACGAGACTGAATTTTAGCAGTGTTTTGTACCTAATTTGTAAAATTCCTCTCAAGTTCTTTAACTGCATTCAAAAGGAAAAGCTGATAGCCTTAGTGAGATTAAGTCTGACAAGCTTTTTTTTTCTGTTTTGAAGGTATATATACTTTGTATAGGAATAATTACACTATTTGTTATTGGGTTGCTCACAATAATAGTTAGATATCTTTGTAACCACCACAACTTATTTATTTAAAAAGTTCAGTGTAGTTTATTGTACTTGTGTAATATACACTGAATCCTATATTGAAATCTATTTATCAAGTTAATTGTCATTTTACACTACCACCTTTAAGTGCTCAAATATTATCATTCTATTGAAAGTAGATGTGGGTGTTTTTGATTCATCCTTTTTTTTTCCCAGTGACATTGTCTGTGTGAGTACACTTGTTATTTTCTTTTGTTAATTTATGATGGGCCCTAATTTTAGTGAATTGAATAATTTAACTAATTGACATTCATGAATTGTAGTGCAAAGTGGCATTTGCCTGCAAGCTCATCTCGCCAAAACAGCCAGAATGCTTACACATGCTTCGTTTGTTGTATCTATCAAGCCACATAAAGCCTTCTGGTAAAGATTTAAAGATTTCATTGGCCTCTATTGATATGTTTGTGAATATCCTATTGGGAAATAAATTGAATATAAATATGAACAGGCGAGGTACAGGAACCACCTTCTACGAACTCTGGAAAGGTAAGGCTCCCAATGTGAAGTATTTTCATGTTTTTGGCTGTCGTTGCTACATCTACAATGACAGGGAGCATCTGGGTAAGTTTGAATCTAAAAGTGACATTGGTCAATTCCTTGGGTACTCCTCAAATAGTCGTGCTTATTGTGTATATAATCTACGTACTGAGGTAGTAATGGAGTCAATCAATGTTGTTTTTGATGATTTTTCTGATACTGTTCTTACTCCTGATGTGTCCAGGGTTGATGTTAGTAGTGGGAAGAAATCTGTAGATGTTGAACCTGATAATATTTTGAATGAAATTAAAACTGAAAATTTAGGACTTGATGAAGGTGTTTTTACTGGCTCTCATGATGAGTATAATGTTCCAGCATCCTCAGGAAGTCCGACTGAATTTAGGCGTGATCCACCTGCCAAAATTTAGAAGGATCATCCTAAGGATCAAATTATAGGAAGAATAGCTGAACATGATACTCGTGGTGTAAAACCTAATTTTGGAAAAATGGTTGGCTTGTGTCACTTTTGCTTGTTATGTGTCGAGGTTAGAATCGAAAAATGCGAAAGAAGCCTTGTGTGATGATTTCTAGGTGTTAGCTATGCAAGAGGAACTAGAACAGTCTGCTAGAAATGATGCTTGGGAATTGGTTCCTAGACCCTCAGATTCTAATGTGATTGGGTCAAAATGGATTTTCAAAAACAAAACTGATGAATCTGGGGAAATTACTAGGAACAAAGCCCGACTAGTGGCACAGGGGTACACTCAAGAGGAGGGTGTTGACTTTGATGAGACATTTTCCCCTGTTGCGCGTCTAGAGTCTGTCAGGATGTTCCTATCTATTGCGTGTCTATTGGATTTTATCATATATCAAATGGATGTGAAGTCTGCGTTCTTGAATGGTTTTTTTAAAGAGGTTGCTTATGTGAAGCAACCTGAAGGTTTTGTTGACCCTCATCATCCAGATTATGTTTATAGGTTGAAGAAGGCGTTGTACGGGCTCAAGCAAGCTCCTAGAGCCTGGTACGAACGCTTGACTCAGTTTCTGTTTAAAAAGGGATACTCTCGAGGGGGAGTTGCTCAAACTCTCTTTGTGCATAAGTCTAACAAAGATATTATTATTGTTCAGATCTATGTAGATGATATTATCTTTGGTTCCACCTCGAAAGCTTGGGTTAATGAATTTGTGAGTCATATGTCTAAAGAATTTGAAATGAGCATGGTGGGTGAGATGTCTTATTTCTTGGGGTTGCAAGTGAAGCAATTCAAGGATGGAATTTTTCTCCATCAAACTAAGTATGCTAAAAATCTGGTTAATAAGTCTGGTCTAGAGAATTCTAAGTGTCCAGCAACACCTATGGGAAGCCATAAAAAGCTTTCTAAGGATGAAGCTGGAACACCAGTTGATTCCACGCTCTATAGGAGCATGATAGGAAGTTTGTTGTATTTGACTGCAAGTAGACCAGATCTATGTTTCAGTGTTGGTATGTGTGCTTGTTATCAGTCTAATCCTAAGGAATCACATTTAAAATCCGTGAAACATATAATTAAGTATGTTCATGGTACTTCAGATTTAGGAATCATGTACTCTCATGATAATACTGCTAGTCTTGCAGGGTACTGTGATGCCGATTGGGCTGGGAACATTGATGATGGCGGAGCACATCTGCAGGTTGTTTCTACATTGGGAACAATTTGATTTCATGGCTGAGCAAAAAGCAGAATTGTGTTGCACTGTCTACCACGGAGGCTGAGTACATCTCGGCTGGAAGTTGCTGCTCCCCGCTTATGTGGATGAAACAAATGATGTTGGAGTTTAGCCTTCAGGTAAAAACCATAAACCTATTTTATGATAACACCAGTGCTATCAATATCTCTAAGAATCCTGTTCAGCACTCCAGAACCAAACACATAGATATACGGTACCACTTTATTAGAAATTTGGTAGAAAATGAAGTGATTGTTCTTGAATACGTGCCAACACAAAATCAATTGGCTGATATATTCACCAAGGCACTGGATTCTCAACGGTTCATTTCTCAAAGGAAATCTTTAGGGATGTGCACTCTCTGAATGCTTGCGTGAATTTGCATTATATTATATTGTATTGTATATTACTTAATCTATTATATATTGCATTGTTTGTAAGCACGTAGGGTATCATTTTCATTAGACATGTTGTGCATTATTGCATATTCTCTCACCACTAAGTCATAAATGAAGTTATGAACCTTCTGAAAGTGGGTAAAGTGCAGATTGTCCTTGATTGATTGCGTGTTCTTGCATGCCTTGTGATGGGTCTACTTCTAGATCTGGAGTAAACTGGTTGTTGTGAGCTCAGATCTTTTTGAACCGCTTCCCAACCGTTGCTAGACCGCGAGATTCCTGCAAAAACTCAACGCCGGAGGTGTTTCCGGCGTAGAGCCTCCGACGCTCAAGTCAGTATGAGAGTGATGAAGGGATGCTGCGCAGCAGATATGGGGGAGAGTGAGAATGAATGAGAGTTAGGGTTTGAGTTACCTCGCCTCCTTTATATAGGAGTGAATACTTACTTGAAGTGCCCAACATGCTCAAGTCGGTGGACCTAGAAGGTCCAAAATACCCTGGTCGATTCATCTCCCCTTGTCGCTGAGTCATCGCAAGATCCCTTCTTATCCTTTGTAATGTGTAGAGCTTCAGATATGTTGCAAGTGTGGTGAATCGTCTTTACCACTTTGATCCTCGAGATGTACAGAGTCGACCTCGAGAAATAGGAGGTCGACTTATGAATATGTGCGGTTTCAGAGGCTACGCCTGGTTTAACTCTCTGCGGTGAAGTCGTCTTCAGAGAGTCGTCATGGTGAAGTCGACTAGTGGAAGTCGACCTAGAGTATCTGGATGCTTGGGAGTTACACCCTTGATGTTCTTCTCCCCTTGATGTCGACTAGTAAAAGTCGATTGATGGAAGTCGACTTGTTAGAGTCGACTAGACCAATTTCTGCCTCTTCTTGATTGCTTTCGGTAGGATCGACTTTAGGGAAGTCGATTTGATCATGTTGACGGGGTCATGTCGACGTGTGAGTCATTCAAGTGTTTCATCGGTCGAGTAGGAAGCCTCTGGACCGGGTTATCCTTATGTGGCTATATCATCTAGTCCCTCCCCAAAAATTACTCTAAGCAGTTGACTGCTTAAGAGTAAATTTGGTGACGCGTAGTTGTGTTGTCTTCCCGCGATGCTCACTCGTCTTTGCCTTCTTTGATAATTCATCTCGTCAATCAATTAGGGCACATTTCAATCTCATGATTGCTTTTTTGGATAAGTCTGACACTCTGACAGACCCTGGTAGGTCTACTTCCAGATCTGAAGTAAACCGGTGGTTGTGAGCTCAGATCTGCTTGAACCGCCTCAAAACCGTCGTTAGACCGCGAGAGTACCTGCAAAAACTCAACGTCGGGAGTGTTTCCGGCGTAGAGCCTCCGACGCTCAAGTCAGTATGTGAGTGATGAAGAGAGGCTGCGCAGCAGCTATGGGGGAGAGTGGAAAATGAATGAGAGTTAGGGTTTTAGGGTTACCTCACCTCCTTTATATAGGAGTGAATATTTACCTGAAGTACCCAGAATGCCCAAGTCGGTGGACCTAGAAGGTCCAAAATGCCCCTGTCGATTCGTCTCCCCTTGTTGGTGAGTCATCAACAGATTCCTTCTTATCCTTCATAGTATGTGGAACTTCAAGTATGTTGCAAGTGTGATGAGTCGTCATCACATCTTTGTTATTCGAGGTGTGCGAGGTCGACTTCGAGAGCTAGGAGGTCGACTCGTGGATATGTGTGGATTTGGAGGCTACGCTTGACTAATCCTTTGTGGTGAAGTCGTCTTCGAAGAGTCGTCTTAGTTCAGTCGACTGTTGGAAGTCAACTTAGGATATCGGGATGCTTGGGCGCTGTACTCTTGCTGTTACTCTTTCATTGATGCCGACTAGTGAAAGTCGATGGATTAAAGTCGACTTGCAAGAGTCGACTAGACCAATTTCTGCTTCTTCTTGATTACTCTTAGCAGAACCGACCTTAGGGAAGTCGATTTGGGCATGTCGACGGAGTCATGTCGACTGCGAGTAGTTTAAGTGGTTCGCTGGTTGAGCAAGGAGCTTCTGGACCGGGTTATCCTTATGTGGCTATATCATCTAGTCCCCCCCCCCCAAAAATTACTCTAAGCAGTCGACTGCTTAAGAGTAAATTTGGTGAAGTATAATTGTGTCGCTTTCCTACCAATCTCGCTCGTATTAGCCTTTTTTTGCAACTCGTCTCGTCAATTAATTAAGATGCACCTCAAACTCATGATTGTCTTTCCAGATAGGTCTGACATTCTGACAAGCCTATTTCAAATTTCAAATTTCGAAACCCTAAAATGACGCGCGTCATCTCCATCGCCAACTCCTCGCATTCCGTGCTTCATCAGGGCCGTTGGTTTCCTCACTGATCCAACGATCGACATTAGTTCTCTCCGCCTATAAATACGTCTCCTTCTCTCAAGAGGTCATTTTTCGCAATCTTGAACTTTCCGCTCTCTCAGATTTCTTCAAGCACCTCCGGCGATTTTTGCACTTCGGCTTCCCCGGCGCTCTCCACTTCCGGCAACTTCAAGTTCGTTCAAGGCTTCAATCTACTAAACCACCATGTGTAAGTTCGTTATCCCCTTTACTTTTCGCGTTTTTGTTGGTTTTTTTCCTTTTTCAATTTTTTCTGGGTTCTGGGAATTTTCGTGTGTTCTTCGTGTTCTTCACGGATTTCTCATGAGTTTTGCGTTGGATCCCTTTACGCGCATATTCTATTAGGACATAATGTTTTTCGCCAGTCGTCGGCTGCTGATGAGCAGTCGACTGTCACCTGTCGCTGAGTTGGCTATTGTC